TGTGTTTTCTATAATTAACTTGCTAAACTAATAAATTTAGCGAGTTAACAAAATAAGTAGCAACCTCAATTTATTTTCCTCTCCAATAGTTTCCTATATATTCACTTCCTAAACGATTTTACATTATAAACTCTAAACTATTTCTAACCAACCAAATCTCTATTAATAGTTTCTTTGTCTCTTACCATTTTCTCACATGAAATCCTTTATTTTCTTAATTTACTCATGCGTCCAATTTACTCTGATCTTCCAAGAAAAACACTTGAATGGAGAGCGAATACAAAGTTCCTATCAAACGTGGAAACTTACGAGTTGGAGGGGAGATTTATCAAGTTCTTACTTTTAAAGAGTTGTTTTACCAAACTATTGGAAGGATATTTTTTTCTCTTTTTACCAAAATATTCAAATAGGGAGTTCATTTAGGAAATTTCTGGAGTTGCTCTAAATACAAGGAAGGAAAAGGTGAGTCTCCTTTTGTCACTTCAATTTCCACACGAAGATTCCATTTTTACTGTATTTTTGGCTTATATTTTATATTTGTTTTCACATAGGATCCTTTAAACTTTTATATACTTTTTGAAAACTATTGGACCTTTTTGCTTCGATTTTTAAAAGTGGGAGATGTGGTCTTTTTATTCTTAATTGTCGAATTCATCAATAGAAAGCATGAATACCTTGTCGCATTTGTTTAATAACTGCATTTCGAATATGGTTTATCTGTTTAAGAAAAGTTTAAAATGGAAAAGGTAAAAATAAAAGATAGAAATAGGCATCCATGCAATGCCATAATTAGGACATGTTTGTTCGCTCATAACTTATATATAATTCAGATTGTATAAGCTCAAGTGGTTAACACAACTATAAGCATATATAATGCAGGTCATATACATAATCCATGCTGCTCTGAACCTATTATAGCCCCAGCTTATATAATTTATACTCCATCCGTTCCAAATTATAAGTTGCTTTGACTTTTTTGGTTCATCCATTTTGCTATGTATCTAGACATACTATTATATCTAGATGCATAGGAAAATAGATGTACCAAAGTCAAATCGACTTACAATTTGGAATGGAGGGAGTAGCGTTTAAGTTTGATTTTAGGGGATAAAAACAAGGTCTAATCAGTATGCTCTAAGCGCCTATTTCAACTTTATATATCACACTTATATAAGTTAAGACCCTATTTAGATACATAGTATTTTTTGTATACTATGGTTTTGTATAATATTTTGGTTTTAAAAAATGGTTACTCCATTTGGTTTAGTTTATAAGGTATTTTACATACATCAAGAGCCAAACTTTAGGGTATTTGATCAATAATGTAGCTAACAACTTTTGACTATTGTAATACAAACTTGATACTATTATATTTCTAATCAAATGTACTATTTAATAATCATAAGTCTATAACCATAAACAATATAATATGGCATGCATAAATGGTTAAAATGTAATTGGGAGACCATAACATATTAAACTAAGAGCATCTCCAAGAGTTTCTAAAATCCGCTCCCGGTCTTAATTTTTTAGAAAGATTGAAAAAATTGCTATGCAACAATTCCCTATATCAACTCCCAATTTTTCTACACTTGGAAAATTGACCTGATCGCGCGGATATTTTCATGCGTGTATCCATCGGCCAATTTAAAGCTGGAAAGGCGTGGGAAAGAATAAGGGTAGGAAAGAGTTCCTAATGCAAATATACAAGAGAGAAAGAAAATATAAAAGTGGTTAAGATGATTTAGAAATAGTCTAGGATTTCTAATGTAAAATTGTCTACTATATTTTAGGATCGAGGTTTTGGAAACTATTGGAGAAACCCAACAAATATACTCCCAATTTTTTTAGCCACTTGAAAAAGTCGTTAATTTACCAAATGTCTTTTTAGGAACTATTGGAGATGCTCTAAGTCAACTGTTGGAGAAACCCAATGTGACAGAATCGCCCAATTTATACAAGATCAAGTACGGCTGTCCCCGCTAACACGTTGACACGCACATACTTTCACTTATATAAACCCGGTAGTCCGCCGAGTGTCTCGAAAGACCTCGGTAAATCAATATCACAACTAAGATCGCGTGATTAAGCAAATACACATCACATACGCAGAGTTGCAGCAGAAATAATGTTACAAATGGATTCACAAATAATAGTACAAGTTTGGGTTTCAAAACTAATTATTGAAAACAACATAGCTTTCAAATAATTACATTAATATAAGTTCCAAATACATTGCTAGCATAAGTGACATCCTCAGACAAAAGCATATAGATGAGAAGTAAATATAGAATCACCGAGCCCACCGACGGTTAGCCACCATCATCAACAGGTCGAGAACTTCACCTGCAACAAGGTGGGATAAACCCTGAGTACTCGAATGTACTCAGCCAGACTTACCCGTCGTTAACCAGAAATAAAGTGACACCAAGGATTATGCAAGGCTTTCTTTAGTGGGCTAGCTGATTCGTTTGCGAAAAACATAAGTTATCATGAATAAACCATTTTAAGTACTTTGTATTATCTTTATTATAACCTATCCATCTAGGTAAGCACCTATACTATAGCAATCACTTGATTAACCAATAACATCCAGTTGCCAATTTAGATTTAGCATATCCCATATCATCCAGATAACCATCATTGTTCCATAATAATTACTACGATGCCGTAGCTCAAGTCAAGTGCTCACTGTCCAGGAGCGATGGCGATTCGAATCGATTCCTAACCAGCTGGTGATTTATTCCTCACACAAACCACGCTTCCCCCGTCGGGGTCGCTTAGATCACCAATGACACTTTTCAAGTAGCCGCGGGATAACAGTCATGGACCGCACTACCCAGGGACTGCCCGACTGCCAGGACGCACCTTGGGTTCACTCTTCGCGTCCCCGTCATACCCTCTTCAGCACCAGTCTGCGCATCCGAGTTTATCCCGGCTCGAAATAGTGTCACTAGCTTCGCGGTCGAAAGATACTTTATTCGGCCAGCTAAATGTGAGGCATGCGTTCAACATGACAAGAGGGATGAGCAACGATCGTTCCTTAATTGACACAGACGGAAACTAACAGCACCCCAGAACCCTGTCTGGTTGCCTCCAACTTTTTTCGTCCGGTCTCCAATTATCCATCACATATGGTTAATTCCAGGATATCATTCTTTCTATAGCTAAATTCTTTTAGTAACCACCTATAATGTAGGTGACCGGATATCACCGACCGCTACCGGTCTAAGCAAGGCTAAGCAGTTATTCGACCCTGACCTAACCGGGTAAAAGGTAATAAGGTAGGCAAGGATAGTAATAAATGCATGAACGGTTTCAATCAACTCCTACAACTTAATGCAACAATATATAAACTCATATATATAGAAAGAATTGCTTTTATAAATTAGAAGACTTATAATGCTCCGGGGCTTGCCTAGGATCCGACACAAGTCAGTTCAATTAGCTTGCACCGTCTTTGGGTTCGGCTCCAACATCACGTCATTCACGTGGTTCATCTAGCGTACCTAAATGAAATGCAAGATGCATGTGTATGAATGTGATGAATGGTAACACAAGATGCATCACATAGGCATTCAAGACAAACACAAGATTATGCAAGACATAGACACCAATAGCTATTTAACTAACCTCACACAACTAACTATAGAGAGCAAGCTATTCACATCAAACCAAACATCAAGATAGCAAGTACATCAAGCATGGCATATTAGTTTACTTAAGTTCTATCCAAATTACTTTAACTTGCCAAGTTTAGACAACCTAATATACAATTGCTCATCTTCAGTTAAGGGCTTGGCACCTACAACTAACAAGTTATCTTAATTAGCCTAGCATCTAAATCATCACATCAACTCATATCAAGCAAACAAGTTATTCACGGCAATCACGGAGTCAAGGCTGCAACAACAACAACTAATTTTACTCATAACAGGAGTTGTACTAATCCAAAAGACATGCAACAAGACAATCTGGAAAGCTTATAGAATTTTCTACAATTCATCTTTAATCATCTTATCATGATTCTCAAGTTAACTAAGTCACATATACTCATTTACAGAAACTGGTCCACAATTGACAGAGAGCAGCCATTTCTGACACCCAACTTTAAACAGGCATAACTCACAAACTACTTGGCCAAATGACACCAAATTTTAACAGCAGATAGATACATGAATTATATACAACTTACTATGAATTTATCAAGTTTTTTAAAATCCTTGTATAATAAGTAAGTTGTATATAATTCATAGTAGCGTCCGAGCCAGGAGACCTGTGCATAAGGAGGCTCGTCGAGGCGCTGCAAGAGGCGGGGTACCGCGACGGCGAGACGCTGTTCGGCACGCCGTACGACTTCTGTCAGGCTCCCGCCGCGAAGAAAACCGCTGCGTGCCTGCCAGGCGATTCACCCGGTGGTGAGGGCGCTCGTGGAGCGCGCGAAAGGTGGAGAACGGGAGAAGACCATCGTCCTCGTGTCGCATGCGGCCGGGGGGCTACTGCTGCTGGAGTTCTGAACGAAGCCAGCCGTCGTGGCGCCCGTAATACGTCAAGCACTACGTCGGGGCGGAGCAACCAACCGCCACCTGCCCATCGCCCACCCTCCCTCTCTTTCCGAAAGAGCCCACGCCTCTTCCTTCGTCCGACGCGCGCCCGCGCTAACGCCTCCGCGAAGAGGTTCTCTCCGCTTCGCCCGAGACGACCATGGCGTCGATTCGAGCCCCGCCTCCTCGGACCCGCTCCTCCCCGGCCGCCACCGCGCGTCCCACGGGCGGTGAAGGTCCGCCCTCTTCATAATCTGTAAGCCCGCTGCCCTCCCCCACGATCTCACGGGCGCTTCGATCGGCCTCGACCTCGATCCGATTAAACTTCTTGGCGGGAGAGTGCGTGCGTGCAAGGTGGAGGTGGCGGAGCGGTTCGTGTACTACGACATCTCGTCCAACCTGATCAGCTACCTGACCGGCCCGCTCGGGCAGACCACGGCGGCCGCCGCCGCGTCCATGCTGCCGCTCCTCGGCGCCGCCGCCGACTCCTGGCTCGGACGCTACCGCACCATCGTCGCCTCCTCCTCCGTGCTCTACATAACGGTGAGCCCCCAACCGTCGCCTCCTCCGTGCTCTACGTCATCCCGGTGCAGCTCGGCTTCCGGGCGCCGCTGGTGTCGGAGTTCCAGGGCCAGAAGGTGGGAAAGGCGTGTGAAAGACTCCACAGGAACAGCGTCTTCGAGTGTGGCTTTTTCCGTGTAAAGTTACGTGGAAGGGGGAGGAATTTCCCAAAGTCTTAAAAGATTAAGAGTAAATATTAAGAGTTGTTGGAGATGATTTTCTCCATCTTTTTAAAAAATAAGGATTATGAGGATGTTTAGGGAACTCTGGTAGATGCTCTTAGAGTAGTTCCCAAAGTTCCCTCCTCTGAACCTCAACGAATCGCTGCCGAGCACAACGCGCCGGTCCCTCGGTCCCTCCCTCCCGGATCCTCCGCCCGCCGCTCTTCTCTCTATCCAGCGTGTGGTGGAGATCCGTTCTGGTGAAGACTAATTCCTTGTTTTGATGCTCAGCGATCCTTGCTAGTTGCTTGCTTCGATGGATTTAGTTGTTACAAGAGCTGCGTTGTTCTCAATCAAACCCGGGTTTTCGTATGGTTCGTATCGTTTTATGCTAATCCAGTCAAATATCCATGTTTTTGTTTAGTTTCTTCATTCGGTGCACAAGATCGACGTTAATACGACTCAATTACCCTTCTTGCACCTGATTAAGTTGCGGATGCAACTTATCTTCTTGGGTTATCATGGCACCTTTTATACGAAAAATATCATTGTCCCAGTACGAATGGCTTTAGTGCTACACCTTTTACTTTATTGAGGGGGTGTTTGTTCTTTAGTCGTTTCTAAAATTCATGTCACATCGAATGTTTAGATGCTAATAAAGAGCATTAAATATAGATTAATTATAAAACCAATTACATAGATGGAGGCTAATTTGCGAGATAATTTTTTAAGCCTAATTAATCTGTCATTAGCACATGTTTCTGTAGCACCAGGTTGTTAAATCATGGACTAATTAGGTTTAAAAGATTCGTCTTGCAAATTACTCGCAAGTTGTGTAATTAGTTTTGTAATTAGTCTATATTTAATACTCAATGCATGTGTCTAAACATTCGATGTGACAGGAATTTTAGGAGCGCTGTAGAAACCAAACAGAGCCTGATTCTAGTATTCAATTTGGAGATCTTAATTTCAATCCCCATTTTTTATTGTTTTTTTTTTTATGCGAAACAGTGCTGATTATGGTATGCATGTTCATGAGAATGGGATAGTTCATAAACTTGTTATGTTTGTGTTCGTATCTATCCATTGAAATGGTGATGCTCGTTTTGAAAAACTCCAGCTTTTGAATTGTGCATAACATTCTTCCGGAAGAATGATACAGAACATGACCCTTCGAATTTATGACACTTGTAACATTTGCAAGCTTGGTGTGCTTTTACTTTATTTTCTAATAAAAGTCCGTATCTCCAGTTTTCTGTAAAAAGTTAAGAATATGTTTTCTGTTATCGATTTGTCCAGGGTTGCTGTGTATATGGTATTTTTGTGTTGGGGTTTCTGGATGTGCACAAAGTAGTGTCTCCCACCACTCAACCACACCCATTTGCAGGTTCCATGACCAATGAAAACATGATTAATTGTCATGGGCTGACACTCAGAGTGGTAAGCTAATGCGATCTGGAACTGATGCTGATGCTGGCTCCTGTGCTGGATAACAAACATACATTTCATTTCAGGGAAATAATCTAGATCATATGTTTCATTTTCTTATTTATGCAACATTCTGTCTGAAGGATGTGTTTGAAGTTGCTCCTTTTAATTTTTTTGAACGAAAATCGCTCTGCTCCTTTTAATTGGTAGCCTGTTTCTCAGCTCATCCCCTCATTCCTGTGCTGAGCTTCAGCCAAAAAGAAGAGCCATGTGAAAGAACGAACTTTTAGTCTTGAGAAGAGAGGACCACTTTGAAGTTATATGCTAGATTTTTCAAGAATCATTTACATAATATTAACAAAGTTTGCCACTGAAATGGAGTCTGCAACCATTCTCGGCCACTATCACGTATAACCTGTTTTCTCCAATATATCTTCATAAATAAAGACTTCTTTCACAGCTTGCTCTGATACAATTTGTTACCTTCACTGAAATATTTTCCTGTTGCTCCTTTTGCAGTAACCGGCCATTTCATCTCTGCTGTAACCATGAGTCTAGCTTGTCTAGTATGCCATGGAATGAACAGCCCTTCAAACTCCTTTAGAAGCTACTCAGTCTCAAGCTCAGAGGGGGAAAACTGGTGTGGAGCTGTAGTAGCTTGCCTATCTCGGAAAGTAATGCCTTCTGGAGCCGCCAATGGTGTCGGGACATCAAAGGTGACCCCTTTTCCTCTAATGGCTACTGGTCAGGGCACCTAGGGTGCTCCTCGCCTTCAACGGAGCCATGCTGTTTCAAGAGACCTCGTCAGAAACTGGAACTTCGATGAGATTGTTTTTGGAAACTAGAGTAGGGTGCTCGGTGTTCGGTCTAGGTTGGACAAAAACTATCATCTGGCAGGACAAGCCATCACTTGGTAAATTTACTAGGATACTTCTGTCTATCCATGTACTGTATCAGCAGTTTAGCACTCGTTCATTCAACAAGCAAATCATTAAAAGAGCACTGATACTTGAAGAACCAGTACCTGGTTTGATATATACGGAGTAGTTGTCAAATTGTGCTGTTATATCAACTTTTCGGTGTATTATTTTTTCCCCATTACCTGTATATCAACATTTCCTATTACTGTACCTTAAGATAATGAACAAATTCCCTTTCAGCTTTCCCATATGAAGTCAATTTTCATAGGTTTTGCTTGGTGCATCCTTTTTAATGTGTTGGTGTCAATCGTGAACATATGAGTTGTGCATGCTGCTCAACGTATTGGTTTCTTGTAAAGTCTAAATGAATGGCAATGCTCCTGCCCGCATCAAATGGGGAATGGCTATTTAACTAAATTCTATTGGATATTTTGACTGTTTGACGAAGATGCAATGGCCCATCTCCTAGACCTCTTCCTACTTGAAGATTATAGTTGCCTTGCTTAAATTGAAGATCCATGGGTTATAAGCAATTGAAGAGTTGATGCATTGCTGTTCTTTTCCATCGAAGCGTTGCAGGACTGAAGTGATTACTGCTCCTGCGACCAGCTTCTTTTGTACAGAAGGTAATTCGCATAGGGTTACCAGCCTAGCCTTTTCTGAATAAAAAAATTTCATTTGCATGTACACATGAAATCCTTAACATTACATATAAAATAACAGATCAAGTCTGCCAAAACAGTTCGAACATTGTGCTTAAAATAATGTGGAAGGGAAGTTGAAGGTGCCTTGGTGGCTTGGTCACTCCTTATTGCAATTTAGGCCATGTTCGCTTCGTTGAAATTTAGCTTATGCTGATTTGTTGTGACTGGAAAACACTGATCTTGCTATGCAACAACACAGGGCTTGAACAGAGCAACAGTGTCGGGGACCTAATACCGGGGTACCAAATGAGGTGGAACTAATAACCATCGAACGTTGACGCTTCCGGTCAGACAAGAACGCTACTACACTTCTTGCCTGAACGACGGAAGATTGGTTCCGCCTCGCCCGACCCCCGAGGGCTAGACTCCGCCTCGCCCGACTTCTGAGGGCAGGCTCCGCCTCGCTCGACCCCCGAGGGCTAGACTCCGCCTCGCCCGACGGCTGAGGGCAGGCTCCGCCTCGCCCGACGATTACACCCTACTCCTTCATAATGACGAGCACGGGGTAAGACAAGACATTCGAGTCAACCGCAATACCAAGGACCACGCCCTGCACGTCTGCAGGAAGGTACCGTCAGGATACGACGGGACGGCCGCTTTAGGCCTTTCCAGGCATGGCAGAGCCCGAACAGTGTTGTAGGCGCTGATTTTGGTCTTACAGTGTTGTGGGCGCCGCCATCAGCCCTCGGACGCAGATCCTGACACAAGCATACGACAACCACTACAATCCGAGAGAGAGCACACATCATCTACAGTGACGGACGTATGGTCAATTCCCCGTCTACTCCCCGTAGGGTCACAGCTCGGCTCCCTGGCACGCCGCACCGTCCGCCGGTGTAGGATGGGACGTACCCACTTGCTGGATGAGGCCAGGACACGGCCCTATGAGGATCAGCGAACACGCCATCCCTAACGCGGTCTGCCATATCAGGAGGGCAGGCATGGGGGAAAGGAAGACCCGGCTCCTTCGAATGACCTTTTCTACCCTCTAGTTTTTTCCTCTTTCTCCCATCTGTAATCCCTGCTCCCCTTGGTTTATAAAAGGGGTAGCAGGGCACCCCACTAAAGGGACAGATCGATTCCACACACAGCATACAACCAAGCAGCAACCGAGCTCTTGGCGTCCTTTCGACCTTTCCATCAGAGACTTGGGACTTGTCCCTCTCTCGATCGTTTGTACCCCCTACTACGAACCTTTTTCGGTGCTAATAACACGAGCAGCAGCAGTAGACTGGACGTAGGGACATTCCGCCCGAACCAGTATAAACCTTGTGTCCTTTAGTACACCATCCGAGCCTAACGCGCAACAAATATAAATTTACTAGTTGATGTTTGTTCGAAACACCGATAAACAACTTCCTTTATTTTTGCCATCGCAATTTGAAGTGTAGTTAGGGATGCAGCATATGAAATACGAATGCACTTGTCATCCCCAAATGCGTCACCTGGGACAAGGGCAACCTAGAGTGCAATCCACAAATAGTAGTTATGGTATTTCAGCATATTCACAGAAGAATGCATAGAAATAAATTGCTGGTTCATACCTGTGCTTTCTCTAATAGGAAGATGCAAAGGGACTCGGAATTCTTGATAGTGCCAAACCCCTCTACTTCAGACCCATAGTAGGCGCTGAAGTCAATGAACAAATAAAAGGCACCCTGCAAATTTGATAATTTAGTGCTTGAATTTTCTTTATCATTTAGCCGTTTTATAGGAGTGTAGAACTAGGTTTCAGGACAACCATTGTAATATTCTTTTACCTGAGGTTCTGATATTTTCACACCAGGCAGTTCCTGGAAGTTTTTCACAAGATAGTCACGACGTTCCTGGAATGCTTTGACCATAGTTGATACTGCTTCACCACCAGCATAGCCAAGGTTCAGAGCTGCAAGCCCTGCCTTCTGTGATATGCTGCTGGCACCTGAGGTGAACTGCAGAAAACACGTGAGACATTGGCATCAAGACGATAAACTAAATTTGCAGAAGATAAGCTAGACTGCTAGAGCAGCCAATGCTACAACAGAAATAGTTTTGTGTACTTAAAAACCATTAGTTTTACTAGAAGTGCAGTACCACATCACTTAACCTAACATATTAGAGATAAAGAAACACAGGAAATGAATTGTTCACCTGGCTTTGGATCTTTCCACATGCTGCAACAAAATGTTTAGGGGCTGCAAGGCAACTCAGACGCCAACCCGTCATAGCAAAAGCCTGTAAAAGTTCCATCATCAAATATTTCAGAACTTGGTTATATTACCCAATGACCAAGTTTTTGTTTTGGAATAAATGAGGCATCTAGTTCTGAAAAAGTACATTCTAATATTTACAATAAGGGCAATAAATAAAGCTAATAAAGCTCACACGCATTTCTGGAGAGGGGGTAACAAAGTAAACAGCAAACATATTTACCTTAGAAAAGCCATTTACAGTTAATGTTCTTTCCCACATTCCAGGCAGTGAAGCAAAGCTTGTGTGTTTTGCAGGCTGATAGATAATATGCTCATAAATTTCATCAGATAAGACCTGCAAAAATAAATAAAATGACATTTCATGATGTTCATCAAGTGAAATTTAACAGGTTGGTTAAAAGTTCCATATAAACCAAAGAAATTACCAGAAGCCTAGGATGCTTCTTGACTATATCAGCTATTTTCTCAAGAAACTCCTTTGGATAGACTGATCCTGTTGGATTAGATGGAGAGCAGAGAATTAAGAGCCTCGATTTCTCATTGATCTTCTTGGCAAGCAACTCTGGCCTTAACAAGAAATTCTCTGATATGTTTGTAGGAAGAATCACTGGAGTTGCATCAGCCACTATAGCCATCTCAGGATAACTGACCCAGTATGGGGCTGGAATCAAAACCTGAAGCAAAGGGATCCCTTGACATTGTTAAGATAAACACAGCACTGAATATTTTAATGCTAAAAACAATAATCATCTATAATGATTGAGGACATGCCACCAACATATGTCATCCTGAGATGTGATAATCAGCTAGTACATAAATTGCTCTAGTGATGTGAAAAAAAAAAAGTGATACAAGGAAGAATATGGCCATATAATATTGATCGACGATCATCCACAAGTGACATACTTGCACAGTCACATAGTCAAATTCCAAGAGGCTGCATCTCCAAATCCCAAAACAAGGTTCGGTTTAGACATCTGTCATTCTAAAATTAGATTAAAAAAAACATAATCCTCGACAACTTCCCAAAGCATGACCCAGAATAATGAAAATTGATACTTGTGCTCATATAGATACTAATATAGCATCGACCATAGAAGTTTGATGCGCTACTGTGTAGGACAAAGTGGTCACCTCATCACCAGGTGAGCAAACTGCAAGCACAGCTTGTGTGATGCACTGCTTAGCTCCATTGCTCACCAGCACCTGATCTGGGAGGTAGGATATCCCATTCTCCCCTGTACAGTCATAATTAAACACGAAGTCATTCAGTTTTCTCAGTCAAAAGGTAACCCTGCGAAGACAGACGTCCATTCATACATCCACACACCCTGGAGTTTAGCACAAATAGCCTTCCTCAGCTCCAAAGTCCCAGCATTAGGAGTGTACCTTGTATAACCATCCTTGATCGCATTCATCCCAGCCTGGATAAAGATAAGCAACGAGAATGTTTAGCGTGTCGAAGTCTGCCCCCCCCGCCCCGCGGCTAGACCGATGACAGGCACGCCGGCCTGCCGCAGCGCCGTGGCCTGGTCGGTGATGGCCATGGTTTTGGACGGCCGCAGCGCGCTCACTCTCGGGCTGATGGACGTGTCCACCGCCTCCGCCCGCACCACCGCCATCCTGGCCCTCGCCGCGTGTTTTGTCCTCCCGCACGCCCTGCGGACGCAGCCATCCATGGAAGCCAACAGTTCCCGGGTAAGTTTACTGATTCAGAGCCAAGAAACCGAAACACCCAACCGATCGCGGCATTACAGAGATCGGCTGCTCACCAGACGGAGTTGGGACCGGAGGAGGCGGGTTTGGCGAGTGCGAAGGAGGAAGGGCCCGACGAGGAGGCGGCTGCGGCGGCGGGGGTCATGGAAGTGGTAGCTGTCCAGTTTAACAGCAGTGGGACTGACGTTGTGTGGGACTTTGGGGGTGACCCGTTGTCATCCGAGTAGTAGTTTGCAATCGTGCTGAATTTTTTTTTTCATAAACAATCGTGCTGATGTTAGGTGGCCATGGTGGCGGTTTTGGTAGGTAGGTGTTGGATGTCATAAGAGGATCTGCAACAGTATCTAAAAAAATAATCCCCAAAAAAAGTTTTCTAACATTTGCAAAATATATTTGGAGAAAAAAAAAAGCAAAAACTCCAACAGTTTCTAAAATCTTGCGCCTAAAAGATAGAAGATAATTTTATATCAGGAATCCTAAACTACCACTTTTATATTTTATTTCTCTCTTGTATATTTACATTAGAAACGCTGTCCTACTTTTTTTTTCTTCCTCACGTCCTTCCACCTCTAGATTGGCGCTAAGATATGCACGCCTAACTTTACGTGTATGGGGGCGGTTTTTTCCAAGTGCCAAGAAATTGGGAGGTAGGTTTGGAAGTGGTTGGAGATAAGTTTTTTTTTTTAATTTTGGCAAAATTCATAGATTGAGAAACTGTTTTGGGTATTCTTGGATATGCTCTAAAATCAAGCTTCGATCTCTTCTTTGCATTTTCTCCTCCTCCAACCTGCCATCATAGCCCCTTCTTTGCATTTTCTCCTCCTTCAACCTGCCACACAGTCCCAAGAAACTCGGCTGTCCGGAGTGACATTCGATCCCCTCATCATTTTGGTATTCAGAGAGAAAGAGAAGTAGGAGGCACGAGAATTTTCGGTATCGATCGCCATTGTCAGGTGCAGTAGCGAAAAGAATTAGTACTCCAGATTAGCAACCCCGTGCCGTGTTGAGAGGCCGGCTTCACTTTCTTACCTTGTTTGCTCTACTCGCTTGATGCAAACTCTGCACAAATCTAGTGCACCCATGTTTTGGGACAAGTGAGGATCACTTGCTAGTTAACTGATGCAGCTGTTACCCAGCAATGTAGGACGAGGCTATTCGCCTATACCGTCACCATATTGGAGAACCAGATTAATAGCTGAGCAGCTTGTTATGACAAATTGTCAGCGCTACAAGCATCGCGCCGATTCAGACAAAAAATGAATAAGCAATACTTACATATTTATACTGAAAATTGGGCTATCTGGGTCTACGAAATGCTAGAAGTCCTTGATCATTATTATTGACCACAAATGTAAGTACACTTAAGGAAAATATAAAAGGCATAACCTAAAATGGCTCTTGAACAGAGGTAGAACCAAACTAGCATCAAGCAACAACATACATAAAAAAGTTGACAGTGCTGCTGTCGTCATCATCGATGGCTGCATCCATCAGCTATCTCCGTTCTGCTGCCCATAACTACAAGATCCTGAAGGCAGGAAGGAGAAGGGGTTCTCAGAGATGTCAAACCCAGGGCGAGTGAAGTCGTCAAGCGCGCCAAAGCAAGGATCAAAGTTCAGCGGCGAGAAATAACCACGCACATCATCAGCCATTTTCATGTCGAGGTTTGATATACCATCAGACGAGGGGAAGCTATACACCATGCTCCTCGCCATTTCATTCAATGGCTCACTGTCCTGAGGTTGCTCTGATGCTTCTGATACCTTCACATCTTCCATGGGGAGCGCAGGTGTGTGGCCTTGGAAAAGCGCAACATGCCCAAAAAGCTTGTCCTTCCTGGAGAAGGTTGTTCCACAAGAACAGAGCCACTTATCGCGACCACAGTGCTTCTCATGAGTCTTCAAGTCGGCGATGACAGAAAACTTCTTGGTGTTGCAACGGCTGCAGGTGTAGCTCTTGTCACAGTGGCTTCTCTTGTAATGGTTCTTCACACACAAGATTGTTTTGAGAGGCTGGAACTTCTTGTGCTCCTTGTTCCGTTTGCAACCCACAAATGGGCATGAGTACCTTGTAACTGGTGCATGATCTGCACCAGAATCCTTTGTGGGTTTGGCAAGAGCAGCTGAAGTCTTGTACTCATCTCCATGGCCCCTCATGTGCATCCTTAGATTAGCATCTCTTTTGAAACCCTTACCACAGATCAAGCAGAAATGAGTATGTGGTGCTAAAATCTCCTCCTTTTCCAATTGCAAGACTACATATGAACCAGGAGGAAGATTCTCTCCCTCACCACCATCATCACTCTCCTTCACATCATGGTCCTCCATCGGAGTCGGTTCAGACCCTTCCCCACCACAGGGATTTGGGCATTTGATCAGCTCATCTCTTTCATCTTGAGCAGTATTAAGGCTATTCATCAGTTCATCATAATCAGAAGTTTTTCCTGTGTCAGGAATATCAGTCTTGCTGTCTACACTTGGTCGCTGATTAGCATTCATGCCAAAGCCCATAGGAGAACCAAGAGTGTTGCCAAGCTGCCTGACTGCCGGATTGCTGCTAAGAAGTGGGTTCTTCATTGAAGGGAGCAGGGAACCAGCAGTAGATATGAGCTGGATTATAATGCTAGTGAGATCAGCGGTTATGAGATGCTGCTTTGCCGCTAGCTCACTGGAACCGCCAGCTACTTGGTTCTCTCGATTATTCATGGACTGCACAATATCTTTTACCTGCTTGATCTTCTGCTCAAGGAAGGTTAGGTTGCTCACTATAGCCTGTGGGTCCCAATCTGTATTCTGTGAAGGATTTGATTCAAACTGGTTGCCAAATTTAGCTTCATTGTCATTAGGAAGATACAAACTGGAGGAGGGAGGCCCAAAGAATGGAGGAATGCCTGGCAAAGATTGACCAGGTCTTGGAAAATAAAACTGCTCCACCGAATTGGGGCGGAGAGTCTGTTGGTCAGGATCAGCATTCCTTGCCATGTTACTTGCCATCGACGAAGAAGCTTTCATGGCGGCTTCCAAACTAGTCATCCTGCCTTCCATTTCAATTCAACACCGCTCGGGTCTTGCTTCAGAATGCTCTTCTACTTCAGGAAATACAATCATCAGATGTAGAATTGTTCTATTGGGCGAGTATGTAACCCTGCAACAGAGAGATTCAGAGATTATAAGTGGCAGAAAGTTAAATTCGACATGTCACGGACAAGGTTGGAAGGAAGCTATGACTAGTCGCCTGCACAAATGGCCTTTCTCGTGTATCAAAAGGTAAACAGAAAAGAAACAAGGAAGAAGAGGGTGCCTATTTCTAGATGTAAAAAGGCATAACAAGCCTACATCTTTATTTCACATGTATATAACATGCCAGAAATAGGGAAGGTACATAATTTTTTCAGTAACAAGTGGCTTACTTGTCAGGATCATAACATCATGTCAGGATCATAATATTTTTTACGGAATAGTCTTAATTGAGCAGCAGAGCTCCTGCCTTTTTCGTTCAGAAAAAAAAAACTTTATTTACCGAATAGTACTAACTATTTTACTGATCGGTAACTTCTCCAGATCTTCACTACGATAATCTAATCTGAAAACCGATAGATCTGTGGCCAGAAGGATAGCACATCCCAAAAAGTCAGACCTTAGCAATATTTAGCAAATATATAAAGGAGCATGGTACCTAGCTGAGGCAAACAGAAGGATGGATGAAACTTCAATACACGCAACCCAAAGGTCGATTGTGAAGATATGAATCATGAGGGGATTATAACTGTTCAGTTCAGTCAAAGACCCTAACGAGATCGAATCGAAGATCCCAAATCTCCTAATAATCAAATAAAGATTCAGTAAACAACTTCCCTTGTTTGTCCCCCCTACGAATTTCAAGAACACGAAGCAAACCAACCCGACACCAAGAACACAGATTCCAGATCAAGAGATCTCAAATTCCTCATGTATCATCCTTTCCCCCTACCTCAAGATGCTATTCCACCGAAAAAAAAGGGGGACATATTTTATCATTTATCAGACAGGGCCCAGATCAGACAAAGCAGGCAACAGTAGAGGAAAGAAATCATCACAGGGAGGACGAGCACAAGGCGAGCAACATAGAGCCCCGATTACCCTGCCGGTGTCTGAACCCATGTTCAATCCAGCGTGACGGATACAGGCAAGAGAAGGTCGTAGATAAACAATTCAGAGGTGGACTTACCGATCAGCAGGATGGAATTGCGGCTCCCGGGCGAGAAAATTGGAGCCTGGATGGCGGGTGCGGTGGGTTTATAGGAGGAGGAAGGAGCCCCCGAGCCTTCCTGCCTGCTCCCCCCCTCGTTGACTTCTTGAGTTCCCCTCCCTCCTCCCTCTCTCTCACCCTCACCTTCCGTTACCTCCTCTCGCTGTGCGCGGTCCGGTCACCCAGCGCGGTGCGCCCTCCACCCACCCAGCGCGGTGCCGTGACGTGCTACAGCTGCTTCTACTATCCCGTTTGTGTGGGGCCGTGAGGTCAGACTCACCCTCAGCGTCAGCGTCTCCAGCGCCGCACGGGAAGCAGGATAAGAAAAGAGAGGGGTGAGCCGGGTGTGTCGTCACTCGTCAGATCAGGTGCGGAGCGGTGGATCCACTCCTCAGATTCGAGGCCAAAGAAAAGAAAAATGTCTCGTCGGCAAATGTGTGAGGCCCAATCCCAACGAGGGCCCTCAGGTCCTGTCGTTCTCTTCTCTTTTTATTTTTCATCCCTCGATTTATCCGTTGCTAAAAAAAATTCCTCGATTTATCCAGCAAACCTTTTTAAATTTGATTAAACGTACATACAAAGAAATACTCGTATCTATAATACATAGTATAATAATAAGTATTATTAAACTAATAATGAAATACTTTCTCCGTTCAGAAAATACAATTTTAAGTATGAA